GGCTTTAGTCTGAGTTTGATGTGGGCTCTCAGTCAATTAACCAGAGTTGATGATGCAGTGGTGTTCAGAGGAGCGCTCGGTCCTGACATGTCCCGCTTCGTTGGGTTTACTGTCTCTTATCGACCCATCACATGTATTGATGATGTGGTGACGTCTGGATATTGGTTTATGCTTCGAGATGCTTCAGTGATCCTTGTCCTGTACGCTGCTCTCTTCTCATCTTATATTACACAAAATTAACCTTTGTGAACGTTAAGACATGTTATAATATTCTTATGATGCGGTACTTTTCATATTAACAGATGATTTTACCTTTTGTTTAGTGGAGATTTGTAATTGGGCCCAGTCAAGCAGAAGTAAACAACAAGGCCAAAAATTCAAGTTAATGCATCTGATATAAAAATGTATTGAACAGATACATATGTACTCTAGTTTATGAAACTGTTGACCTTTTTTCTGTACCATTTTTGGTTCTAAAGTTCCATATGTTTTAAACAGACCATGTATGAAACATGGAACAAAAATTATGTCCCAAATTTCAAAGACCTGCAAATCATGTAAATAAAAGGATGTATTTCATCATATCTTGTGTTATTCCATCTTTGAACTGTTGATGAAGGTACATGATTTAAAAAAAAAAAGTATTTAAAATGATAAAAATGTGCTTGGAAGGACTGACATATTTTATAGAAATAGTTTCCTTTCATTTTGAAGTAATATTAAAGTATTCAGAAGAAAAAAGCAACAAATGATGTAAAATCCTGCACCTTCTACTTGTTTGCACAATTTTCCCTCCGTTACCATGACCTTTCTTAATAAAAAATCTCATGACTCAAAATGTGAGAGGTTTTTCAACCTAATCTTGTACCATATGGTGTAAAACTATATGAAGCAAATATTCAAACCAGTTTGTTAAGGATATGGAAGTGAGAACCACTAGTCAACACTGTTTGGATTTATTGACCAAAAAGTGCTGCATATTTCATTCCCTCCGTTACCGACATGAGTTTAAAATTTTTTGTCAACAACTTGAAAGAATATCACAGGTTTAACTTGACCCTGTTGGAGTGTAACTCTTTCCTACATTCTGATACTTTACTTATTTCAATAGTCCCTCTAGTTTCTGAATAAGAGACATTTGAATGTCAAAAATCTGCCCCTGTTTCCCTCCGTTACCGCTTGACCAGACCCAATGATCCACATGATTCTAGTGAAGGTGTGTGGAGTTTAAAAACAGAGTGGAGCACTTCTTGTTTTACCACATGACATTACAAAGTGGAACAGAGTGTTTTCTGTTTGAGAGAAGAACTCAAAGTTTGTGTGTTAAACATGTGTGAATGAAACAAAACTCCATGTCTGTTTGTGATGAGGAAACATTAGAACAGATCAGAAAACAGCACAATATGGGACCTTGATGGAAAAAACGAATCAGATGTAGATGTGTGGAGTGACCCAAAATCTCCCAAGGATTACAGAGAGTCCTGGTTTAGTCCTGGATTAGTCCTGCTTTTGTCCATGAATCAGTGGTTTTCCTTTTTGGTTTGGTTCTGTTTTAGCTCTGGTTTTGTCCTGGATTAGACCTGAGGTGGTCCTGGTTCAGTTTGTAGTCGTAGTTTAGACCTGGTTTAGAACTGATTTTGTGTTGGTTTAGTCCTGGTATGGTCCTGGTTTAGTTCTCGTTTAGCTGTAGTTGAAACCTGTCTTAGTATTGGACTTAGTTTAGAGCTAGTTTAGTCTTGACTTAGTCCTGGACTGATTTAGATCTGGTTTAATCCTGGTTTAGTTCTAGTTTAGTCCATGAAGACCTGATGAAGATAATCACATCTCCACCATCTCCACACGTGTTATCAGTGGTATCAAAGATTTAGTCTTGGTTTAGACCCGGTTAAGTCCTGGACTGGTGTAGATCTGGTCCGGAGCTGATCTAGACCTATCTTAGTCCTGGTTCAAACCTGGTTAAGTCCTTGTTTAGATGGAAATTATTTTTTATTAGCTGCTTTAATACCGGACATTTTTAAAGATCTGGTTTAGACCTGGATAAATGGACTGGTTTAGATCTTGTTGTTCAGATGGTTTAGTTGTGGACTTTGGAGCTTGTGTAGCCCTAGTTTAGAATGAGTTTAGACCTGGTTTAGTCCTGGATTAGTCCTGGTTTTGTCCATGAATCATTGCTTTGTCCTGGTTTGGTTCTGTTTTAGCTCTGGTTTTATCATGGATTAGACCTGAGGTGGTCCGGGTTCAGTGTGTAGTAGTTTAGACCTCGTTTAGTACCAGTTTTGTCCTAGTCTGGTTCTGGTGTGGTCCTGATATGGTCTGGGTTTGGTTCTGGTTTTGTCCGTGAGTCACTCCTCATTTTTATATCTGGTTTAGAGCTGGTTTAGTCCCAGTTTAGACTTGACTTAGTCCTGTACTGATCTGATCTGATTTTCAACACATGTTATCAGAGGTGCCAGAGATTTAGTCTTGATTTAGACCTAGTTTAGTACTGGACTGGTTCAGATCTAGTTTAAAGCTGGTCTAGCCCTAGTTTAGTCTTGGTTTAGACCTGGTATAGTCCTGCTTCAGACCCGGTTTAGTCCTGGTTTAGTTTCATGAGGAGGAGGACAGTGAATCTTCTGGCTCAGTTGAAATCTGTTGGGATCATCTCCGGGGAAATTCTGCGAGTTTCTGAAGTAGGTCGAGTTTTAGGAGCAGAGGAACTCTTTGGGGTTTTGGTGCAGTCGGAAATGTCCACGAAATATTCTGGAGATTTAGATTTCCAGGCACAGTTAGTTTGGATTGGGAAAGTCGAAAAATACATTCCCACATCCGAAATAGAACTAAATCCTACAACTATATCAGAACTAGAATATGACTGGATGATAATATTAAAGAAACAACAAATATCTCAAATGGTATTTTTAGGTCGGTCAGGCACGTGTAAACTTGCTCTTTTATAAATACAATATACTTACACAAAAAAATTCTTTCTTCTTTTTGTTTGGTTCATACCTGGTGTTTGTTTTACTGTGCTGCCTTGGTCCTCCAGCCTCTTCTTCTCTGTTTATGGTTCTTCTTCATGTGATCTTTGCCTTACCCTTAGTATAATTTTAGGCTCTGAAGGCTGATTCTTCCTTTTGTAAATCTATTTTTGGGTCAGTCATCTGTAACTTCCTGTGACTGAATTGTGCTTTTGCCTTTATTTACATTTGTTGTTCTATTTTACTTGTATTTCAGTTCTTTTGAGCTCTGACGTTGCTCTGTTGTTTGAATGTATTGATATGAAGATGTGCAGGGAGATGATCCTGTCTGGTGTCTGTGGTTTGGTCTGAACCATAGACTGGACCGAGTTATAGAGATGTCTGTTGATTATATTTTCTTTTATGAACCAGATTAAACTGAGAGCGCCTCCAAGAGTTCCCGCTGTGTCGTCCGGCTCCTAAACACACCACAAGCTTCACAAACAGCCCAGCGCAGAAGTCCACCAGTTTAGTCGATGAAACGTCAATAGTGTCTGATGGTCGACCAAAATGTGTATTAGGCCACTGATCATTTTAAGGATTTATTATAGGAACAACAACATTTATAAAGTTAGTGAGTGAGTAGCTGATCATTTGATTTATTTTTTTTAGTTGATTGTGTTTTGTTTTGGGTTTTTTTATTGTGGTACAATAACCACACCATTACCTGCAGTTATTCTAATCCACAATATGAAACAACTTATTGTGGAGTATAATGAAGCATAATGCTCTGATTAGTCTCACAGTTTGAACCCCACTCTCGACATAAATCACTGTAAACAAGTGTGTGTAGTTTAGTTTCAGAGGAGTTTCAGTGTAGTTATAAGATATAAGGAAGTGTCCACCAGTGTCTGTCCAGAACTGAAGAAGCAGCTTGGATGAGCTGAGAAACATATTCGACCTAAATAAACTTTTGTCCAGTTGACAAATTGAATTTCTCCTTTTGCCATAAACATCATTGGTTGAGTGGTCAGATCCCCTGACCCACAGTTTGGCCGTGCGATCTTGCCCCAACGTCATATACTGGTGTGTGAATGTGTGGTGGAAAAGCGCTGTATAAAAATCAAACCATTTACCATTAGACCTGGGCATTGTCCAGCTTGTACAGATCCTTTGTTTGACTCTGATCAGCTCTGATCATTTGGAATTATAAAATACTTAAACATATTTTAATTTGACCTCATGCACGGACTAAAACTGCATTGCTTTTATTTTAGAGGTGTTTTTAATGACATTTTTTGTAAGAGAACCTCACTTTTTCATTGCTTGGTCAGAACAGAAACTCTTCCCGGTCCGAGCAGCTTGTCAGAACAATGAGATTTACTGCTTTTATAAAGAAATACAATTAATTTTATGCAGTGTTGAATGAAGCATTTTGGCTTGACCATTCACAGTATTTTCTGCCCACCCTGATTTATACTGAAGTGAAGACATTTTAGAGCTAGTACACTTTTGCTGTTTTCTCTGTTTGCCAAATATTCAGTTTTTCACAATTTGTGTTGTTATCCCAGTTTTTGTTTTATGTGTATAGGCCCACTCAGGCCTGTCGACAGAAACCTGGGGGCCCGAGGCAAGACACCTCACATGGGGCCTCCCTCCACTTCCCTGGGTCCAGTAATTACCGATATATTAACCAGAAACCAGAAAATTCCACCGTAGATTTCTGAACAGTTCAATTTTAAAAGATCAGGAATGTTGTGATGTTTTTGTCTTTAATTCATAATTGTTCTGTTTCAGATCATCAACACATTTATAGCTCTATAATATTTACCACAGATGTGGAGCAGGTGAAATTGATATTGTTTAAATGCAGGTTTTTGTTGTAATACTGTGAGTTCTGGAGTTAAGTCACTAATAGAAATGATCAGACTCAACTTGGATATTTTATGGCAAAGTACAATGTAATCAATAGGAAAATGTATCACTCTAGAATTCAGAAACTACCAATGCATTTCATAATATTAATCTTCTTTTTTTTTTGGTCTTTCTTTTGTTTTGCAGAACTCAATCCGTCACAACTTGTCCCTGCACAGTCGTTTCGTCAAAGTCCAGAACGAGGGCACGGGGAAGAGCTCCTGGTGGATGGTGAACCCCGAAGGAGGCAAAGGCGGGAAAGCTCCCCGTCGCCGCGCCGTTTCCATGGACAACAGCAAATACATCAAAGGAGCCAGAGGTCGCGCCACCAAGAAGAAGGCGTCTCTCCAAGCCGCTCAAGATGGAAGTTCAGAAAGCTCCTCCAGTTTGTCGAAATGGACGGGCAGCCCCACGTCGAGAAGCAGCGACGAACTGGACGCCTGGACTGATTTTCGCTCAAGAACCAACTCCAACGCGAGCACCCTTAGCGGAAGATTGTCACCGATCTTGGCTAATCTCGAGCTGGATGAAGTCCCAGATGACGATCCCTTATCTCCAATGTTATACTCCAGTCCTAGCAGCATGTCGCCCTCTACTGGCACAACTGGGCTTTCTGATCTCGGTACCATGAACTTGAACGATGGATTGTCTGATAACCTCATGGACGATCTTTTGGATAACATTAGTTTGACTGCGTCCCAACAGCCGCCACCGGGAGAAGAAGACAGCAGTCCCAATGGGCAGGTTTTTACTTTTACTTGTGGTAGTCCGTCCGGCAGCTATGGCCCTGGTAATTTATTCAGTCCAACTTCAATTACCAGTTTGCGTCAGTCTCCAATGCAAACCATCCAAGAGAACAAGCAAGCCACGTTTTCCTCTCATTTCGGCGAAGGCTTGCAGGAGATGCTGGCATCGTTGGACTCACCCGGCAACGTCTTGCTGACCCAATCCGATCCGCTGATGTCGCAAGCTAGCAACGCGGTAGCTTTGCAGAATTCCCGCCGGAACGCCATGCTGCTTCGTAAGGATCACTTGAACCACGGGGGCCAAACGCAGAGCTCTTCTGTGCCTGTGGGGTGGCAAGCTGGCTTGTCAACCCACGAAAATTTGGGATTACGAGGCGAAACTGACCCAAAACAACGGCTAAAATCACCTAGCAAAATGGCCGCCCCTATGCAGCTAATCTCCCAGGACAGGTTCGGTGGCGATTTGGAGCTGGATGTTTTCAACGAGTGCGATATGGACTCGATCATTCGGAATGAGCTCATGGACGCCGACTGCCTGGACTTGAGCTTTGACTCCGCGCCAAACAGGAAGTCCGGGAGTTTGTCTGGATCCAAACAAACGTCGCCTCAGAGCTGGGTGCCAAGCTGAAGAAGCATGTTCAAAAAATACTAATAATATTTTGAGTGGTGTTCATGTAAAATAGGAAAAAGAAATGGAGACGTTGCTGTGGCCTGGCCTGCCCTCAGTCAGTTCACCTCAATTCTAAGGATTTCAGAGTGATGATGTATAGATATAGAACAGTTGCCACACCGATTAACAATGAAAAACAATCTGTTATAGCTTTAAAATGGGGAAAAGAAGTTCTCAAAAAGTTGCATAACACGAGGCTGAAATCAGTGAAAACAGAGAACAGGGGCTGCCAGAGGAAAGTGGCTGTACCTGATTTTTAGTGTCTTAAAAACAGTTCAGTGTTATTCCTCTTTTACCTTATGTATTCAGAGCATCTGAATTATTCATCCAACTTTCAGAAGCTAGAGTTGTAAAATTAACAGCAAGTAGCATGCTAACCCCCACTTCCTGAATATTGGAGAATAAAACTCTTTAGATTTAGAGGCTGTACACAGCCTGACCTGTTCTGTACTGGACAAAGTTTGCTCAAATACATCTTTAGAATTGCAAAAAAGTCAAAATTTTGTGTATGACAGTTGAAACTAATGAATATATTTTAAGAATTATTACTAGTTAAAGGTGCATTGTGTACTGAACTGAAATTCTGCGTATGACAGTAATTTGAATCAATATATTTCATACTACTATTATTTAATTTATAAAATATAGGACTGTTACCACAGCAACTAGCAATTTAAAACAAAAATATATATATATATATCTTTGGTCAGGCCCTGTTCTAGTCCTGGTTTAGTCTTGGTTTAATCCTTTAGAATAAAAAAAAAAAAAAAAAAAAATATATATATATATATATATATATATATATATATATATATATATATATATATATATATATATATTCTAATTTCCTAATCCTAAAATATATTTTTTGCAGTCATTTGAAACTAGGGACTGTTAGTTGATGTGGCGGTGGGCGAGCTGAGTGGGCGTGGCCGGCCAGGTGACTGCACTGAAACAGGAGGGAAAAAATACACGTGAAACTTGTATTAATGTTGTATTGTTGATCGGCATTATTCTGTATGGTACTGTACTTTAGCTAACGAACCTTTTCAAAGATCAATGCCTTTTTGTTGTCGACATTAAGTTACATGAAAAACTGCTCTCCGTCTCAGGGATCCACAGTCATTAACACTACAGATAATAAAAGCGCATTTTCACCATCACACGACCACAGGGGGCTGTCTACATGACCATGCACTTGGTTTGATCCAGTCTTATGTTTAGGAGAAACAAATATCCCTATGTAGCTTCAATCCCGCCCACGTGTGTGAGTTTTGAAATAAAATAACACAGATTTGTGCTGTCCTCAAAACAAAAACACAACTAGTTAATGATAAAACAGTTTGCAATGGTCTAAAGTTCTTCCTCACTTCTCTTCTGCATTCAGTACGACCGTGATGAGTTTAGAAACATTTTTCACAACTCTCACAGAGCAGAACGGAGTTTTGCCATCACTAGCATGCGAACCGTGTACTTCCTGATTAGCAAACAATAAAACTGTCCATAATTAGAGGATTTATTTTGACTTCTAGAGCTGCTTATACAATATAATCTGTACTGGACACATTTTGCTCAGATGCTAAAAATATTGGTCACAAGTCCTTTAAAGGTGCAATGTGTAACTTTTTGACTAGAGGATCCACCTCCTGCTTTTCTCCATGGAGACTACATCACTTTGTCTGAAATGTTTCACAGTGTGGCATTAATCTTATCTTAATTATGGGTGTTTTTTTTTGGTGCTCTAAGAACAAGCACAGCTACAGTCAGCAGGCCGTCCTCTCCACAGATCTGACCCGTATTTTGGTCTAGTGGCATCTTTTGCTTGTTTCCATGGAGATAGCTAAGTTTAATACTATACTGTGAAACATTCCAAGCAAAACAATAATGTTGTCATGAACACAAATGTAAGCAGAGCCAGAAAAAACAGAAAAGCTGCACAGTGTAAACTTGTCTGGTGGAGGTTCTGTCACCTGCTCGTGTCCACGGCGATGTTATTGCTTTGCCTAGAATGTTCAGCAGTAGAGATTAAACCTGTCTATCTCAAGGGAAACAAACATAGGCATTACAGTCCATTACAGGTCAGATCTGTGGAGAGTCGCCCCTATTCACAGAGAGAACGACTGTATTTTGAAGCACCTGTAATGAACAAATACTACATACATGTGTTTAAAGTCATACTGTGGAACATTCCAGGCAAAGCATTAACATCACCATGGAGACAAGCATAAGCAGACCCTCCACCAGAAAGCTGCGCAGTGCATCTTTAAATTATTCACACTGACTCATTGACTAGTTTTCCAAATGTGTTCTTTTTAAATTTTATGATAGTAAAAACTAAATAAATAACATAAAAAACATAAGTTAAAAAAACTAAAAAGGTCTAAGCAACTCAACAAAGAGCTCAAACTTTTGAAAATAAAGAACACTAGAAATAAACAATAACAAGAATGATGATTATTATGACTATATTTATTATTCTCTAGTTTTTCTAGATTGTACAGATTGTGAATGATGTTTATAAAGTATACATTTTTAAAGTATACATTTGATATTGTTGAAGCCTTAAAAATGAAAATCTTTCCTAGCAAAATAATTATATTCAGAAAAGGTGTGAACTTTCCCTCAAAATGCACAACACGATGCTTCTGTGGGAAATTTCAAAATAAATTCCCATCGACTAAACCCAAGATCGAACACAAACCAAATGCGTTCTTATTTAAACAGCTCCCAAATACCAAGAAAACCATCATTTTTGCCAAACCAGCTCTTGGCTCTCGCAGTCAAAGGCGTGTTTACAAATTGCTGCAGAGAATGTCGCATACATTGGAGCATACTTGACGAGCTTTTTTTTATTTCCTTTACGAAAAAATAAGTGTAGCCTAAACAAAAGTATTCTGTGTTCTTTAATAGCTTTCTCCTTCTTCCCCACTCAAAAAACACCTGGTATCCGTCTGTTTTAAGATCAACATTGTGAAGTTTCCTCTGTAAGCTTTTCTTTTCAATTCTAGTGGTTGTTTTATTTTGAAAAGTCCTGGTAAATAATGGTGTTTCCTTCCTTCATCTTCCAGTATCTGCAATAGTAGAGGTATTGCTTAGTTTAGGACAGAGTTAAGAACAATGTTACATGTGTTTTTAGCTTTAGATTTTCATAAGAGGTACTAAAAACGATCTGCACTATATTAAGATTAAGTTCATTTAAAGGGACAGAGAAGCGTTTTGTGGAAGTGAGTGAACAAGACTTGAATGGAATCGTGGCACGTGATCTTTTCCTGTTTCACGGACACCATTTTGAGGACCTCAGGAGAGAGAACAATAGTGTTTAGAAAGGTTTATTATCGGCAACAAGTTCAAGTTTATTTAGGATCTATGGGTCCTGGTTTAGTCCTGGTTTAGCCTTAATTTAGTCCTGGTTTAGTCCTGACTTTTAGGTTAGTCCTGGTTTAGCCTTGGCTTAGTCCTGGTTTAGTACTGGTTTAGTCCTGAGCTAGTCTTGGTTTAGTCCTGGTTCAGTCCTGGTTTAGCCTTGGTTTAATCCTGGGTTAGTCCTGGGTTAGTCCTGGCTTAATTCTAATGTAGCCTTGGATTAGTCCTGTTCTAGTCCTGGTTAAACCCTGGTTTGACCCTGGGTTAGTACCTGGTTTAGTCCTGGATTAATTGCAGTCCAGTCTAGTTCCAGTTTGAGTCCCAGTCCTGTTCTGTTCTGTTCTGGTCTGGTCTGGTGTGGTGTGGTGTGGTGTGCGTGTGAACCCACTTGTGCAGAATCCTTGTCTGGTCCTTTGAGGTGAACTTGGTGCTATAAACAGATAACTGACCGTGGGCCTCCTGTGGCGTTATCAGCACTGAAGCAGGTGCTCAAAGACGTTTCCATCATGTCCAAGGAGGAGACTTTTTGTTTTAGTGTTAAATATTTGCCAAACTCTGTCGGCTTTGAAAATGGTGTAAAATATTAAGAGATGAAATTACAGTACTGTGCAAATTATATTTATGTAGAAAAAGTGACATGGTCCAAAATCTGTAGTCTAAAGGATACTGTGCAGTGAGGGTGTTCTGCATGTATGTCTATGGTGGAATGTTCAGCAGTTACCATGGTGACACAGTGTACACATGAGCAAACACAGGATTTAAAGAGCACATGTTCATTTTACAGTGTGAGTGTTCATGGTGCTGTTTGATTTTCAACAAAAGAGAGACTGAAAAACTGTTGGTTAAAGCTGCTGAGGTCCTCCGCCTGTTCCCACAACTCTACATTACGACATGTGTCTGTTTACACCTGCTGCTTTTCTGACACTTTTTACTACTATTATTATGACACGTCATGTATATATATATATATATATATATATATATATATATATATATATATATATATATATATATATATATATATATAATATATATATATATGAGAATTGCAATAGTGCGTCTCTCACTCAACAATCTCAACAATGATCTATTCACACACAAAACCGACACACACATAGTAGTCAACTTCATAATGACAATGCTCTGTACTTGCTTAAGCAGCTCAGCCCATGTCCAGGTCAACCACATCACTCTGCACTTTATGCACCTTTTAAAAATGCATGATTGTTTCCCACGGTGATCAGTGAGGACATGTTCCCTCTGTCTGATCTCCTCTGTGGTTCAAGTATTCTCTGATCATTCACTTTGCCCAAACATCGTATGATATACGGGAGCACAAAGTATAATAGACTCACATTCATATTATTCATGTCGGAAAAGCTGAATGTTTGAAAAATAGTAAAAAGTGCCACTACTCCGACAATGAAAACAAAAATGTTGAAGTAGTGCGACGCTTGAAAAATAATGTTTATGCAGCTACTGCGACAATTAGACGTCAAAGTCTAAACAGCAACATGTCGGAATAGCAGCGTGCAACCCTCAACCCACCTTATGACTGTCATTCTCTGTGAGACACTTGTTTAGCAGCACAATCCAGCTCTCCTGTTGTAGCTCCAACTAAACCAGCTCTTTATGGCCAGATTGTATTAAAACAAAACTTAAAATCTAACCGGAGTAACAGAGCTTCAGACAGAGCAGTGCCTCTAGTTAGCTTTATGTTAATGACATCAGCTGCAACGTATCAGTATGACTAATATTACAACTCCAAATCTCTCTTTAAATCATCTGAATCAGGAGTGTCAAACTCAAATTCACAGAGGCCAAAATTAAAAACTGGGACTTAAGTCGTGGGCCAAATGAAATATTTATTGAAAAATTTCATCAACATCTGCACGTTTTCTCTTCTTTTGAGATATGTAATGTTTTGTTCTTAAAATAAATGTTTACTTAAACATTGAAATCATGAACAAGCAGAATATAAAATAATAACAACATTTAAATAAATCATGTCTCTATAGTCTGTGTGTGCGGCAGCAGCTCTAATACAGATTTGATATGATCTCACGGGCCAAATATAATGACATCGTTGTCCAAAATTGGAAATCTCACTTGTCCATTTTTAACACAACTTGTTCTATTTCTTTGTATGGGCCAGACTGAAACTAGGAGCAAAGCATCATGGTCTATGTAGTTTAAAAAGGTTGTAAACAAAAAACACATTGAAGTTTATGCCAGTTTTAGTTTCATGTGGATAGGCTCAATAATTACAGAAATTTGAACCATAAACCAGGTCAACAAATCTATAATGTGACAGTGACACAGAAAACTTGGCCCTTTTCTTTGGCCCTATCTCGC